AATTGTAGGATTAAATCCTAAATGCAAATGCGACATATTTTTTTTTATTTTTTATTAATTTAACAAATAAACATGTATACAAAAATACCACATAAATACAAAATTGTATACAAGGGAAAATTGTTTTTTTTTTGAATTTTTTTGGGAGTGATTCTCATATAGGGCAAAAATCACGTGCTCACAGGTACACATATAAGGGACAAGTTAAGGGTCCATTTGCTGAGTTCCTTGAAAGTGAAGTTATAATTGCTCAATATACCATGTCAGTAACACCACAAGAAATGGTGTAGCAGAAAGAAGGAACCGGACATTAATGGACATGGTAAGAAGCATGATTAGCAGATCAAGTTTACCTTTATCCTTATGGAGTGAAGCCTTAAAAACCGCTGTGTATATTTTAAATAGGGTTCCACCAAGGTTGTCCCCAAGACACCTTTTGAGTTATGGAAAGGATGGAAACCTAGTTTAAATCATTTACACGTTTAGGGATGTCCAACTGAAGTGAGGGTTTATAACCCACAACTAAAGAAGTTGGATGAGAGAACAATAAGCGGTTATTTTATAGGCTATGCAATTAACTCTAAGGGATTTAAGTTTTATTGTCCTTCTCAGTCTCCTAAAATTGTTGAAGCAAGAAGCGCTAAATTTCTTGAGGAACATGAAGAAAGTGGGAGTGTTTGACTCAAAGGGTGGAATTGGAAGAAATAAGGGAACCACCTGTGGTACCTTTACCTGAACCCACTGAAGAAGTGTCTGAATCAGTGGGAGTGAGAAAATCCTCAAGAATTCGAAAATCAGCAATTTCTAGCGACTATGTTATATATCTCCAAGAGTCTGATTATGATATTGGAACTAAAAGATGATCCATGCTCGTTTTCACAAGCCATGAGTGGAGAAAACTTCACACTTTGGTATGATGCCATGAAAGAAGAGTTAGAATCTATGGCTAAATATAAGGTCTAGGATCTCGTCGAATTACCAAAGGAATCCTCTCCCATAGGTTCCAAGTGGGTCTTTAAAACTAAAAGAGACTCATCTGGTAATATCGAACGATATAAAGCCAGACTTATAGCCAAGGGTTTTACTCAAAGGGAAGGCATTGATTACCATGAAACTTTCTCTCCAGTATCAAAGAAGGATTCATTGAGAATAATCATGGCATTAGTAGCTCATTTTGATTTTTGAGTTACATCAAATGGATGTGAAAACAACTTTCTTGAATGGAGATCTTGAAGAGGAGGTATACATGCATCGGCCTGAAGGATTTTGTGATAAAGACAAAAGTCACCTTATTTGCAAGTTGAATAAATCCATTTATGGGCTAAAACAGGCTTCCCGCCAATGGTATATTAAATTTCATAATGTTGTTTCTTCATTTGGATTTACGGAGAACATCATTGATCAGTGTATATACCTTAAGATAAGTGGAAGCAAATATATTTTTCTAGTCTTATATGTGGATGATATTTTGCTTGCAAGTAGTGACTTGGGATTGTTGCACGAGACTAAACGGTTCCTTATCCAGAATTTTGAGATGAAGGATATGGGTGAAGCCTCTTATGTCATTGGCATAGAGATTCACAGAGATAGATTTCAAAGATTACTTGGATTGTCTCAAAAGGCCTACATTGAAAGAATTCTGGAAAGATTCGGGATGAAGAACTATTCACTTATTGCAGCACCTATAATTAAAGGTGACAAATTCTCATTGAATCAATGTCCACAAAATGCATTGGAAAAGGAGCAAATGAAAGACATTCCCTATCCTTCGCTTGTTCGGAGCCTTATGTATGCACAGGTCTGTACTAGACCTGATATTGCTTTTGCGGTAGGAATGCTTGGCAGATATCAAAGTAACCCTGGTCTTGACCATTCGAAGGCTGGTAAAAGGGTCTTGAGATATTTGCAAGGAACCAAGAATTTTAAGCTCACATACAAATATTCTAACTCATTGGAGGTGATTGAATATTCAAACTCTGATCTGGGTGGATGCAAAGACACTGGTAAATCTACTTCAGGATACATTTTCCTTCTTGCTGGAGGTGTTGTGTCTTGAAGAAGTGTCAAGCAGACCATTGTTGCAACATCCACAATGAAAGCTGGATTTATAGCATGCTATGAAGCTACATCACAGGCGTTGTGGTTGAAAAACTTTATTTCCGGCCTTAGGATTGTCAATTCCATTTCATGGCCATTGAGAATCTTTTGTGACAATTCAACTGTAATTTTCTTTTCTAAGAATAATAAAAGTGACAGCCGAAGCAAGCACATCGACATAAAGTACTTGATGGTTAGAGACTATGTAAAGAAGTAAGATGTGAATTTTGAGCATATTAGTACTACTTTAATGATTGCTGATCCTATGACTAAAGGTCTGCCAGCTAATATTTTCAAGGATCATGTAATGGGGCTTAGTAGCTCAATTTAGTCTTGCTTTGCTTTCTAACAGTTTGTCTAGACATTATGTTTATTTTGATATACATGACAGTGCACACTTTTGTTTTTTCATGTATTATTTGTGATCATTGGATCAATAAAGTTGGACTCTCAATGACTTATATTAAGTTCATTCATAAAGTTGTTAGACACTTTATTAGAATATATTGTACATTTTAATACATGGAAGGAAGTGTTTGTTTAAAAGCATGACCGTCATGATTCGTGTAATAATATATTCTAGTTAAAGTGATTGTCGCATAACTTTTAGTTGAGTGATAAAGTTTATGGTCATATTATATGTTTATCTCTCATAAAGGATTATCTAATTTTAAATATGTGGGCCAAGTGGGAGAATGTAAGAAATTCACCATCTCTTTATAGAGATTTCTTAGTGTGGCCCACATATAAGGTAATTAATTATTTACCTTGTCTCCCAAAGGAAATAATATATTAGATAATATTTTGTAGTTATGCATGTATGGTAGTTTCTTTGATGGAAAGAAATTACCATATATTAGTAGTCCCTAGGGTAATTATAATTTATGGAGAAGTCCCTAGGGCTAAAGTATTTGCCCAAGAGTCCCTAACCTACTTATAAATATGTCTGTGACTCCATCAGTCTGGCATCCTACGATAGGCACAAGCTAGAATATTCCTTAGTTTTTTTCTCAAGGTTCTTCCAAGGAATTCCCTACACCACTTGAACAACTATGACTGAAGGTATGTTCCTATTAATATTCTGCTGCGTTGGCTCTATGTTTGTATTCGAATTTCAACAAGTACTTCACTATAACATCCAAAAATATTCGGAACAAAAAAGACTGTTATATAGAGATTTGACTGTATATACACTTCTATGAAATTATGGCATCATTGCCAAATTTGATAAGCTCGTTTCCAGAACAATCTTCTTTCTACATATTCTATAGATTTATGCTTCATCTCTCAACTTAACCAATCTAGTTACGTTGACTCTAATCCAGACACACTTTTTAGCATGTTGAGGTTATACATGTGTTCTTTCTGCTCCAAGCTTACCCTGTAGCCGGAGCAGAGTGAAAAATTCAAACACAAAGAGATATTAGTCAAGAAACAATTAATAACTGGTATTAATAATTAAAGAAAGCCTTAAAGTAACTATCCATATATAGGCAGAATCTGATAATTAAAATTCTGAATTCGGCAAGATTCCTAATCTAGACAAGACTCTAGTGAATTAGAAGTGCTTGTCTTACATCACAAATCATATCGAATTGTACACCAAACTTCATCATATATATGTCCCAAAGAAGTGCTACGAAATAAGTAGATTTAATTTGCCTTTTCAGTGTCCATTTTATTCTAATCTCGACAGTGAAAGTTACCAAAAGGTAAACACATATTTCGTCTCGTGAATAAAACTGAACATATCACAAACAAGTTTCTACTTAACATTTGTGTGAGCGAGTGGCGGAGCTACCTTTGTTTAAGGAGTGTTAGTTGATACCTCTTTGCAAAAACAATTATATTGTAAAGTTAATTGAATTTTTTTATAGTATGTTATATTTTCTTGTCTTTTCAATTTTTTATTTTATACCTCCTTAATAAAAACTCTAGGTTTGCCACAAAGTGTGAGGACATCCCAATCTAAATAGACTATTTACAAGCCAAACTAATCGCGGCATCTTTGATACAATGGGCATGTTTCTGCTGGTAATTTGAAAGCCGCTAGTTTGTGACCATTGTTCTCATATGTACGTTAGAGTAGTTTGTAAGTACGTGGAAGTCCCACGTCGATGGCCACATGCCATTTAGTTGGCTTTATAAAGTTTGGCTCATTAAGTCCATTAGAATGAACAATTGACATATTTAAAAGGATATGTGTGTTTAAATAAATGACTTGGATTTGACCCTGGATTGGGTCGGATATTTAAATAAAGATTTTATTTTCGTATTTTATTTGGAACATCGTTTTGTTATTTAAAATTTGAATTTAAATTTAAATTTTAATTAATAAAAAAGTTATGACTATTCGTGAAAAGGGGCCTATCTTCAGAAAAGTCTCCTTTTCTTATTTATACTAGATGAGTGCTTAAGCACGGGCCCAACATATTCGAGTCTTGAAATTTTGATACATTACTAATAAAGATATTATGTAGCTATGTAACATCAGATATAATATAGTACAGCACATAGAAGTGACATTGGATTGTTAGAAGGACTCTCCATCGTAAAACAGATTAAAGTGAACAAAAAACCAAGTCACAAAATTCTTGAAATTGTTGATCATCAAACGCGAACAAGCAAATATCTATCTTTACTTCTAGAAGATTTACGAGAGATACAATATTTATTTTCAAGAGTTAAACTTCAACAAATATGAGATTTCTTTGAGGAAACGTGCAACACTCGTAGAGCTAATAAGAGACAAAGCTCACGTCCTACTCCATCCCATTTAACCTGCACACCAATATTAAATGCATTAATGACCACACATTTAAGCCACTAAAACAGTTGATACTGATATTATTTGGCCATCCGAAAGAGATAATATTTTTCTTTTAATGCACTAATCCTATTGGAAAAGGGCTTCTCACCACAGTTAGAGATGTATGAATGCTCCCATACAGTGTATATCAATAACATACACTGTGTTGGAAAAAATATTCTGAGTCATAACTTTGTCAAAGAAATGAATATGTGAAACATAAAACAAATATAATATAAATAGAAATAGTCATTAGTCGAAGTTTATCAATAATTTCAAAGATACAATTTAAAGAACGAGAAAAGATTAAAGAAAGGTCAACACTCCAGGAATAATGTAGCACTTAGAAATAGCAGTGCTCCCTACATATCTTGCACTTCCCAAAACACTTGATATTCCAAAAGAAGAAGAAAAAATAGCAACTCGATTTTGTATCTTCTTACACTTGTCTTCTGAGCAACCATTTACAGATGATGACCAAACATAACGGTTAATGTGTTTGTCATTTTATAGACTGCTCTTGAAACTAATTTATTTTAAAGTCACTATTTCTGAGAGGAGATAAAATGTAGTTGACGTAGGGAAAGAACATTACATAAGTAGAAGGTGATTTACATGCTATTGGAACAATATGTACAATTCACGAAAATATGATAAAGTTTTTATCCCTGTTTGTGTTGCACTATTTTGAGCGATTTATGAGAAATCTAACATAGTTTGGAAAACATCATCGATTAATAAAATCTCCATACCGAAGGAATGCCTGAAATAAATTACCACAATGAGGCCTAGCTCAAGATGTATCAACCTAGCATTAGATTTTACATGAAAAATAATATTGAATTTTTTCCAATTTCCAACTGAGGCTAAGTCAAAATATAAGGAATTAGAAAATTCTCACAACTTAGGAAGAAATAGAGGTTCTTCCAATAGAATAAACCACGTCCTAGTTTTTTTTTCTAAAAAAGAGGAAATACGTCATGTCTTCTTATCAAACATGATGATACAAATTCTCGGCATCTAAAGTTAATGGTTAACATCAGAACAATATCAGAACTTTAGCAGAATATATAGGTCCTATTACCATAAGCAGTCATTTCCTTTTCAACTGAGGGTAACATATATCTTTTGGCAAACAAAAGGAGTAACATATATCTTTTGGTATCTAAGGACAACCGGGTGCACAAGGTATCATGCGTTATGCAAGGTTTGGAGAAGGACCGCAGCCCGAGGAGTGTAATGTAGGCAGCCTACCCTGATGCAAGCATTAGTGACTAATTCCACGACTTGAACCTATGACCTATAGGTCACACGAAGGCAACTTTACTGTTGCTCTAAGAATCCCCTTCAAATTAAAAAAAAATATTAAACTGAAATATTGTACTTCGAAAAGAAGACATGATTTACTTACTAATTTAGAGAGCTTTGTTTTGTGTTCAATACTTAAAATTGAAGTAAAAATACTTTGTCCAAATGGTCCTTCAAAATTAAACTTCTCATGGTAATTAAAGTAATTTCTCTCAATCCAATTGCACCTCCAAACTATAATTAAAGCGATCCATATGTTCTTATACGACAAATTCCAAGATAACTGAGTTGACTTAAACGTGTACCCATTTGACGAACCTGTTGAAGTTTGGCAAAATGCCAAAGTCCCACATTGGTTGGGAGTTAAGTTTGGGGGGGATTTTTCCCCTATAAAAGAAGGCCTAATGTTTAGGATTGAAACACACCTCTCATTTGCCTTCTCATCTGTTTAAGGCATTTGTATCTTCTCTCTTTAGTATTATTTCACTTGTATTTTTGGAGTGAAATAAAATATTGGTTGTGTCCGAGGAGTAGGCAAAATTAGCCGAACCTCGTAAATTCTGGTGTTCCCTTTATTGTTGCTTTATTGTCTTATTTATTATTTGGTGGCTGTCATAATTTTTGGTATAGTAGTTGTGACTTATTCACACTATATACATTTGGCTTCCGCAACAGAACCCACTTAAAACAGAACTTCGTCATATCAAGGTATATCGAATTCAAACACCTGTCTCAAATGAAAAATATCAGCATTCCTAGAATACTTAAACCTTCTTTATTTTATTTTCATTCTAGCATGCCAATTTGTAAGACGATCCTTACATCCAACTAATCTCAACAATCCTCTCATATGCTAAAAGAAAGAAAGAAAAATAATAATTAACAAACACATATATCACTATATTATTACAACATAAAAAGGAAGAAAAAAGAGAAACAACATTAAAAAAAAAAGATGCAACTTAAAATAATTATTTCTTCTTATCATGACAAAGCTTACAAGGAAATAATAAAATAATAGATGTTGAGTAAAATTGAGATAATCAAAAGCTTAGGCATCTTTTAGGTCAAATGTGGCTCGGTGTCTAGTGAAATGATTCGCTTACAATGCTTTCTACTTACTATCAAATGAAAGGAACCTAGCTATAACTACTTAATATGAGTATCTATAGAATCTTTTTTGAATTCTAACTAACATGACATACATAAATATGCCATTTTATTTTAAAATTATTCTGGTAGAGAATCTCCCAACCTCCGATATAACCAAAACAGATACAGGTGATTCATCCAAATGAAATGAAACTCGTTGATGATCCTCCATGACTAAAAGATCATTTTTGGTTGTCATTTTCACAAACATGCCAAAAGTATTTCAAAAACTTTTACATTATATGTAAAAGTATTAGAATCTTAAAGGCATATAAAGTTTAGCTGAGGGATTCAAAAAGTAAAAGACATGACAAACAACTTACCGTGAAGGGTGAATCTTTAGAATGAAAATCCATCATATATTTTGGTTCTTTCGAGCTTAGACTTAAGATTTCACCTGATATAAAGCGTCAAGAATCAAGAAGGAGATAAGAAACCCGATCGTAACAATAAGTAATCCCTGAGGAAATACTTCAAAAAATGGATATTACAAAACAGTAAGACAAAAGGAAAGAACTACCAAAGCAATTCAAGAACCTCACTTTGATAATTTAGATGCAATTAAAGAGCGGTCAAAGTGTTAAGGAGAAACCAATTCGATAAACCCCTCTCATCCCTGCAAATTTCTGGAACAGATGAAAAAACACACAAACAAAAATTTCGAAAATAAATATAATTCAAAAACTCTCAGAGAAAAAGAAAATCATAATTAAACCCCATAAGACAATTGCAAGATAAAATTCTCATACACAGAGGCAGATTTAGGATTTGGAAGTTACGGGTGCCATTATTTATATATATATATATATATATATGTATGTATGATTCACACACCTACCACTAGCCAGAAAGACAGAATATGACAACTAGATGATTCAGTTATTTTTTGGTTATTCCAATTAGGTCTTTTATTTAAAAAAAAGCCAAAGAAGTTCAATTTTAGTTCAATTTTTACGTTTGGTTTACTATTTTCTAGGATAAAATAGCCAAAAAAAAAATAATTTTATGAAAGTACGCCTCCATATAGAAAGTTTTCTTAAAGAGTAGCTTAATTACTAGTATATAATTTTTGTTTGATTTTATTAATTGATTATTATTCTTGGTTTAATTTTTTTAATTTAATTATTGAGTTATATCACAACTATTTTCAAAGCCAAAATTTTGAAATTAGCAATCTATGAGAATCAACTTAAAACTTCTTTTAATCATGAATTTTTTTAAAAAATCAACAAATGATACTGTTCAATTTATACTCCAATATATAAATTAGTAATATTGTATCACTAAAAAAAGAAACTATATATTACTTAGAATTTTAAAATTATGCATCGAAAGAAATTGCTTATGAAACAATATAATTGTAGGAAATAAAATATAGGCTAATGTAAATAAATTTAAAAAAAGAAAGAAGATGGAAGATTTACTAGCAAATAACGAGAAAAAAAAACGAGAAGAAAAAAAGAGTAAAATGAAAGAGGAGGAAGAAGAAGAGATGAGGAACCCAGTAGAGAATGAAGGAAATTTAGGGTTAATAAGTACGAAAAAGATTTTAAAACAAAACAAACAGAAAAGTGCTGCTAAAGGGAATTGAACCAAGACGCATACGATTAATGAGAAACTTCAGCACCGACGCCGAACCATGGCACCCACACAGAGTTTCTGTTATCAGGGTGACACTTTTTATATATAACTCATTTTACATAGAAATTAATATATTTATTTAGAATTTCTGCTGCAGCGTGCGGGTGGCGTACCACCCCAATCCTATAAGGTAGATCCGCCCCTGCTCATACATACAGAAACAAATAAATAGATATTCCAAATGGAAATAAGGAAAATAGAAGTAGGCACATGAGTTTTAAGTTGACACGACAAGAATGACAAAAGGACATCATTATGGAGAAACCTTCTTTCAAGAACTATAAAAATCATATAATTAATAAAAGGGCAGTTGGTACTCAGCTGAAACTACAACCAAAGAGGCTTGAATCATGGATTAATTGCCACCCAATTAAGAAGATGAAGAGATTCGAGCAAAAAATTGAAGGAACATTTCTTTGTGAAAAGAGATGAAAGACCCGATGTTTCTAGATCTACCATCAGTGTGTTGGAATGGAAACTTGAAGTGAGCAAGCAGTGGACACCTAAAACATTTTATTTTTATTCATCTTACCAATTTAACCTTTCATAATTAATGTAATTACAATTTTACCATTGGTCGACCACACTTGACTTTTCTATATAATAAATATATAAAATATAAATATAAAAATACGGAAGACATCCTAGAAGTAGAGTATTCAAGTTGCACGTATGTTTCAGGCTTTGTTGTATCCTGATAGAGAATTGCTTGTAATCCCTAAAGTATATATAGGCAATAACTCTTGAAAAATAGTGATCTTTCACGCTTCAAAGCCTTTAATTCTCTGTTACTTACCTATATTTTCTAACACTGTATTCGACAAAAGAGAGAGAAAAGCTTTCACATTATTAGTTGTGTTTTTTACATTATTTGGCTCATTCATTTGTTTTTTTATATCAATTTAAAATAATTATATGTTAGTATCTGGAACCCCTTTCTCCCATAAATTGCTCATTTATTTGTTAAATGTTAGAAGATCACTTATAAATGAGGATTGATCAGTTGATATTGCCGAGACGTCTTCATGTTACGTTGGATTAATAAGTTGAAAACTCAAGTAAATTACTGGAGAATCGTTGTTGATTCCTTAACTATGTAAGTTTAAAGAAAACGTAATACTTTGCCTTCTTTTTTACAAAAGACTTACTAATTTGGTCTATTTGACAAATAATTAATTTAACTATAGAATAATAGTTTTTGATCTTATGAATGATTTGAACATTTTAAATCTAGAAACAGATGTTTAGTGATGTTTGTATATGTCCAAATTTGGCAACCACGATAACGGATAAGCAAGACATGGGACGGGGTCACCACAACACAACGACTAAATGTCGTTGTGACAAAGGACGACAACCAAAAGCGGGCAACTGAAATAAGATAGCAACGGTAGTTTAAACTTAGGAAGAGACATGAAAAATATGCCTTTTGGATATTTCTTATATTGTACTTTTTAGAATTTTTTGGGAAATGTCCCTTATAAATAGGAGGAGATAGTGAACAAAAGGGGGGTCTGTCATTTCAAAGAAGAGAGAACACATTGTAAAAAGAGAGAGAAATATACGAAAGAATTGTCTTATTCGCTTTACTCAAGCACATGTTGATTAACTTTTATCCTTAAATCTGAATATTCCACATTCATATCGGCTGCATATCTTTTCACGTCATCAGAAAGAGGATGTAAGGCCCCGTGAAAATTTTTACTCAAAATCCGAAAGCTCGTAGTGCCTGCGGTTCGGACCCTTTGGATTGATCTGTGCATTAAAAAGTAGGAACAATGTTTTCCAGAAAAGTGCATTTCTACGGTCTATTATGCGATCGCAGAATAGCTATGCGGACCGCATAGTCACAGCAGAGCCAGGCAGTTTGATGGTTAATTTGAGGTCAACTATGCGGCCAATTATACAATCTCATAATCAATATGCGGGCCGCATAGTCATTGCATAATCCCCTTGGAAATTTTGTGAGGGGTAGTTCTGCGGTGCATTATGCGACCGCAGAACAGGTGTGCGGGCTGCATTTCTGTCGCATACTCGGGCAGTTTGTTCAGGTTTTGTGGCCATTTTTGCGGTCCATTCTGTTGGGCGCATGTCCATTATGCGATCGCAGATCGTGTCGTGGTTCCTATTTTCTAACTTTTAAAACCCGACCCCATCCCATTAAAAATACCCTCATTAGACCCATTTTAAGATATTCTTCTGCAAAAAAACAAGTGAGAGGGGAAGTTCTAGAGAGAGAGAGTGATCTTCATCAAATTCCCACTCAATTCTTGCCTAAACCCTTGAAGATTATAAAATAAAATTTGCTAGGCCTTCACCCCAAGAGATCGAAGTTGCTAGAAAATTTCGGAATTTATTATAAGGATTTAAGGAAAGCTCTATTGAGGTATGTATGGCTAAAACCTCCTCCTCTTAGAAATTGAGCCTCCATGGTGCCCGTGCAAATGTTGTAAGTCCGAAATTTGATTGATGTAGTACTTGTTATGTCAAATGAATTGATGTTGTGAAAATGTATGTGGAAGGTGTTTCTCTATGTGTTTAATGTGATTCTTTGTAAATTGAGGATGTGTGGAGAACATGATCTATGTGCTAAATGCTAAATGTCAAGTCAAAGTTACATTGTGATTAATATGCCGAACTAGATACATTCCTCTCTATTCTTGTAACTTAAATTGCTTTTGTATGTGCCTATGATCTTAAATGGCAAAGTTAATGTTGAAAATGAGAATAATGTGTAACGTGAGTTATGGAATGTGGTAATTGTGGCCCCAAGTGCCGATGAACTAACACATGTGAAACCAAAGATTGAAGTGAGATGATTAACGGATAAGGGTAACGTCTTGGTGAGACGGCTTAGCCGATCGGGCCATGTTATACGCACATGGTGGTAATGTATTGATAATTGAAACTGGAAAGTGAGAATGAAATAAGGGTAACGTCTTGGTGAGACGTCCGCTCAAGGAAGCGGTGATATTGTGGATGATGATGCAACAATATGGAATGCCCCAACCTAAAACTTCGGAAACTATGTGAACCTTTTATATTGCTGACGTGGTGTTTGTTTGAAGCTTTGTAGTCCATATGATTTTTTTTACTCTTGTATGGTTGTTCTCTCTAACAGGATGGTGTTTAGTTATACATACTAGTACTATTCCATGGTACTAATGTCCCTTTTGCTGGGGGGCGCTACATTTTTGAATGAATGTAGGTGACTCCATAGCGGACCGTGCCGATTGCGCATAGCGGAGTATCCTCCTCTTAGAGTCTTGGTGAGCTCCCCTTTTATCCTCCAAGGGGTTATATTGTACATCTTTTGTTGTAGACTTCCACTTTTGAGGTATAGTCGGGGCCTTGTTGCCGGTATTGTCATAATTGCCTTTTTGTATCTTTAGAGGCTCCGTAGACGTTTGGGTGGGTTGTGTTCGGATGGGACAATGTATTGTATTGACATTTTAAACTCTAGTTCTTCTAAATGGTAACTGTGTGAACCTTAAAAACTTAACCACGACTTAAGGTTCGTGATATGAAAATGAATTAACAATGTTGAATGTACGGTTTTGCTATTGTCTAAATAAATGAAAGCATGATTTCTTAATCGTATTGAGTTGGGTAGAAATTGTTAAAAAGGCTTGCTCAGTTGGGTTCACTCGATTGAGCACCAGTCGCGCCTCCCGAGGTTGGAGCATGACAGAGGAGGCACCTAATCACACAATCATTGGGTGACAGTCCCTTTATACTATAACCATTGTCATTTCTTGCATTCATTGTATTTTTAGGATATTATATATTTTGTTAATCATAATGTATTGAACATATAACTTAACGCTCCTAAACTGTTCTCATTATATTATAATCTCGTTCTATTTGATTTAGAAATTATTAAGTTCAACTGAGATTCACTCCATTAATTTGTTACTAATTAGTTTAGCATTTATTTGCTCAAATAATTTGGCGCCGTCTGTGGGGAGTTTTCTAGTTGAAACTTGTGTATACACTAAGGAAACCGGCTTTGTGTTGGTTATGTCTTCTTCACGTGAAGGAATCTCTACTTGCACCGCCTCCTCCCAACGGCAATCAGCCTTCACTTTCTCAGTTTCAGATATTAGGTTGATGTATCGAGATATAGGTTCGCATCGTCCCGGAACAGAAGAAGGTTTTTCGACCTGGAAATCTGAAGATGTTTCACAAGTCCCAGGAATACACTCCTCAATATGAGGTGGTACAACCATTTTGCTCTTAGAGGAACGTGATGACGAAGGGGCTTTGTCCTTTTGGGGGATGATTTTAGAGGTTTTTTCCATTCTTGCGGTAAAATCTCAGAAGGAGAAGAAGAAATCGGATGAGAAATGAACACACGGAACAAGTGAGCGTATAAACATAGTTGCTAAAATGTCTGAAGACGTTTTGAAAGGTAAAGGTTTAAGGAACGAATGATTAAGGCATTTATAGGGATAAGTCATGCTTGTCGAAGAAGGTAAAAGGACGGCCAACCACCGTTTTCAATTTAAAGCTTTTCGAGAAACATACAGGCGTGACTTTTGCATGTTTTTTCTGTCAATCACTAACCTCACGTGACTGGCATCGTGATGGGGACATCGAAGAGTCAAAAAATTAAAATCGTTTCTTATCACTTCATTTTAAGAAACGCGGGGACTATCTATATGCGGTCAATACGGGAGGCCCCGATATCAAGGCCTCTATGGCATGTCAAGACCAATCTCGAGGGGCTTGGAGTAAAAACTGAAGTTCGACCCTAAAATGCATACCTCGAGAAAGCATGTCGAAGGCTCATCGCGGCCTACCTCAAGGCATTATAAAATCAATGACCGTCATAGAAAGGCGGGGAAACTCCAAAGGACGCGTGGTCAGAGCTGATAAGGTCAACAAAGATAGTACAAGCCCGTATAAGGCTATTACGCAGGTGTAACAATAGCATTTCTCTGTCATGATTAAACGTGCATTGTGTTGGGATTCACCCCTCCTATATAAAGGGAACCCCAACACTCTTGTAGGGGATAATCCTTTTGACCATAATAGAACATTTTTCTGCTTTTCTCACACTCAACACTGTTTTTAGCTTTATTATTTTTCATTTATTTTTCTTCATTTATTGCTATGATCGGACCCGAGGTCCCTGATTCCATTGAGTTCGAGACCCCAGTCCTTCATCAATATTGGTTTGCATACCTTATTATCTTTACTTACACTTAGAATCTATTGCCTAACAACTAGTATTGAAATAAATCACATATTTTTAGAACCACAAAAATCAAATATAATTGTTAAAACCATTTTCAAGGTAAACAGTTTAGCGCCCATCGTGGGGCTAAAGATAATAGTGATTGTTTTGGTGTTAATTTTCTGAAAACACACGTTATTCTTCACACCTTTTCTTGTCAAAGTTTCTTTGATTTTAGGATTAATCATGTCTAGCACACAGAATGCACCTACTCACGACAGTGAAGGACCTGGAGAAAACAGCGGCATAGGGCTCGGTGTACCACCCGTAAACCTTGGGGGAGTGCCAAATGTGGATCCAGTTGATATCAGCTCCCACAACTCTTTAAACACGGATGTAGGCGCAAACCCCGTAAGGAATGTACATAGGGAAGCCTAGACCGGAGGCCAAGAAACACGAGGACCGGAAGAAGGAGGAGTCAGCTTCCAAGTGATATTTGAAATGCTTCAAGCTCAGCAAGTCGCCATCACTCAGCTTCAAAGTTAGAACAAGACTCCTAACGCTGCCGAACCAGTAAACATGCAGCACGAGCTAGTGCTAGAAAGGCTCGATGAAAATGACTCGGGGACTGACCCCACTATCATGAAAATGCTCTAGAAATTGACTAAAAGAATTGAGTTAGGAGAAAAGAAGATAGAAGACAACGATAAAAAGGTGGAAACTTACAACTTGAGGGTCGATAAGATCTCGAGCGCACCCCCGGTTCTGAAGGGCGTAGATTCCATGAAGTTCATGCAGGAACCATTACCATCAAGTGCGGCTCCGAAGTCCATCCCAAAGAAATTCAAAATGCCCGATATCCTAAAATATAATAGGACCACGGACCCCAATGAGCACATTACCGCTTATACATGTGTTGTAAAAGGGAATGACTTACAGATGACGAGATTGAATCCGTCTTGCTGAAGAAATTTGGAGAAACACTATGGAAAGGGGCCATGGTGTGGTATCATAACCTACCCCCGAACTCGATAGATTCATTTGCCATGTTGACAGATTCTTTTGTGAAGGCACATGCCGGTGACATCACAGTTGCTACAAGGAAGTCTGACGTCTTCAAGATCAAACAAAGGGAGAACGAGATGCTGAGGGAATTTATATCTCGCTTCCAGATGGAGTGAATGGAACTACCACCGGTCTTCAATGACTGGGCAGTGCAGGTCTTCACTCAGGACATGAACGAGCGAAGCTCGATAGCTTCGAAGTAGCTAAAACAGCACTTGGTTGAGTATCCCGCCGTGACTTAGGGATATGTACACAACAAATATCGATCGAAGGTCAGGGTCGAGGATGACCAGTTAGAGCCCCCCTCCGGTTCAGTATATCCAAGCAAGCTCCTAGCTAGGGAACCAAAGTCTACAGAAAGGGAGTCGAGATCAGGCAAAGAAAGGTATCAGCCATGCTTCAAAGATCGAAGAGACACTTCGAGGCAGATTATACCTCGAAATGATTGAAGAGTAGATCGAGGCCAAAATTCCCGGGGACTTATGAGTAAGACCGGGTATGACAGGCATTCGAGGCCAATGGAGGCACCCAGATTGTCGGAATACAACTTCAACATTGATATCTCAAACATTGTATCAGCCATGGAGGGATACAGATGGCCAAAGCCCCCACAGTCAAATCCTTCCCAAAGGAACCCCAACTTGATGTGTGAATACCATGGCATTCACGGTCATAGGACCAAGGATTGTAGGCAGCTCCCAGAGGAGGTGGCCCGGCTAATCAACGAAGGGCACCTTCGAGAATTCCTCAGCAATCGAGCTAAGAACCACTTTCTAGAAAGAGAGGTGAACGGAAGGAATGGACTAAAAGAACCTCAGAACTTCATTTACATGATCGTTGGAGGAACCGACATCCCATAGGGACCCGTGTTCAAGCGGGCCAAAGTATCTACCGCAATGGAAAGGCAAACTCGGAGCTATATATCCGAGGATGCCCTTACATTTAGAGAAGAAGACATCGAGGCTTTGTCCCAACCACATAATGATACACTGATAATTTCTTCTCTTTTGAATAACGTTCAAATCAAACGTGTGCTCATGGATCCATGTAGCTCGACTCACATAATCAGGTTGAAGGTAGTGGAGCAGCTCGGGCTGCTCGATCAGATCATACCCACCTCTCGAGTCCTCAATGGATTTAACATGGCAAACGAGACAACGAAGGGAGAAATCATCATCCTAGTCAACGTGTCCGGTACAGTTCAAGACACCAAGTTCCGCGTTATCGAAGGTGACATGAGGTACAATGCCTTACTTGGTACCATACTGTTATAATTAATGCCCTTCAGGCTAAAAAAATGCAGGAGCTACATACCAACGCCTAGTTAATAAGATGTTTGAACATCAAATAAGCCAATCTATGGAAGCTTACATTGATGGTATGCTAGTTAAGTCCCTGCGCGCAGAGGACCATTTGACTCATTAGCAGGAAACATTCGATATCCTTAGAAGCTACAACATGAAGCTCAACCCCAACAAATGTGCCTTTGGAGTAGGATCAGGCAAAATTTTTAGGCTTCATGGTGTCGAATAGGGGGATCGAGACCAACCCTGACAAAGTCAAGGCCATTGAAGAAATCACAGTGGTGAACAATGTGAAGTCCGTACAGTGGCTGACCGGGAGGGTAGCGGCCTTAGGCCGATTTATCCTGAAATCGTCAGATCGGAGTCATCATTTCTTCTCCTTGCACAAGAAGAAAAATAGCTTTGAGTGGACTCCGGAATGCCAACATACTTTAGAGGAGTTAAAGCGATACCTCTTAAGCCCGCCTTTGCTCCACACCCCGAAGGAAGATGAAACATTGTGCTTGTATCTGGCCGTATCCGAAGTAGCGGTAAGTGGTGTGTTGGTTCGGAAAGACAAGGTATGCAATTCCCTGTTTGTTACATAAGTCGGGCTCTAGGAGATGCTGAAACTAGGTATCCACACTTAAAAAAAAGAGTGCATCTCGAAAATTAAAACCTTATTTTCAATACCATTGTATATGCATTTTAACAACATGCCCTCTTCGAAACATCTATATGCTACCTAAGGAGAACTTATCAGGTATTCAAGGCTTCTTCTCAATCAACCTCGAATACTGGGGGGGCATCCCTCTTGGAGGTTATCTTTTTGAAAAAATCGAGTTACGCCTGAGGGGACCTCGATAGGAAAATATTGTATTAGGCCAAATGGTCGAATGAATTGTGTCCATGTAGAACAATCGAGCCTCCGAAGGCAAGAACATGTGAACATATATCAAGTAATGAAAGAAGCCTCTTTGCTTGTCAAAACGTTGTGTGCCTCAAAGAATTTTACTACTGTCGCGCAAAATGGCTCAAGGGCAAAAAATCCTCGAGAATTCAGGGACTGTCGTCGACAATCAGCTCAATGAAGCCATCAAAAACTTAAATTCATAAGATATCAATAAGGAAATTTCGAGCTCGTAAAACCTCAGTGAGGCAGTACCCAAACTTATACGACCTTAATGAGGCAATACCGAGCTTATAAGACCTCAATGAGGCGTACTCAAATTTATAAGACCTTAAAAAGGCATAACCCTGATATTAGGGCCAAGGCTATATATTCGAACTTGTAAGACCCCTAAAAAGGCATACCCTCGATATAGATGCCAAGGTCACCGCACCTAGGGACTAAAGGCTATGGCCAAACATAAAGGCTACAGTCGAACTAAAAGGCTACTGCCGAATTTATGCGGCTCGGAGACGTCCGACTGCCACCATAAAACTAAAGGCCTTCAAATAATTTGAAAATACTTCGAAATGAACCGGTTAATCAGGCTACCCTCAGCATAAGCAAAGGAGCTTCAATAATATCAGCTCCGAACAATAAATAGGCTTCGAAATCAATCAGCCTTCGATGAAAAGGTTTCGAAAACTCAGCCTACAAGCGAACCTCCATAGGTACTCAGCTATCGTCACATATCGACTCATAATCAAGGTTCTTGTTTGAGACATCGAAGAGTCGGACGAACATAAAATATGCCAAGGCATAATAAACTTCAAAAGTCTTTAGCCAAAATGAGGGAAAACTATAGCCATATTAGAGGTTGCATCGACCCAACCTAAAAAGAGCCTAAGGGCCGATTTGTAAGAGCCTAAGGGCCAACCTAAAAAGAGCCTAAGGGCCGATTTGTAAGAGCCTAAGATCCAATCTAAAAAAAGCCTAAGGTCCAATGCGTAAGAGCCTAAGGGCCAATGCGTAAAAGCCTAAAGGCCGATCTAAAGAGCCTAAGGGCTAATGTGTTAAAACTTGAGGGTCGATAGCCCCAGGTCAAAATTTGACTCGAGGGTCGAACCCCGAATGGTAAACTGTTATCGATTATTCATCAGGCATAAACACCTAATGGGTTTGTATTCTAAGTCCAACACATCGGACTAATCATCGACAAACAACAAAAATTAAACCACAAAGGCAAAGACAAAGGCAAGATGGAAATTTATACAAAGATGAAACAAAGGGATCATTTCCTATAATGAAGGTCGCAAAATATATTTACAAAGCTCCCACATGGAGCCGAAAAAAAAAGAATAAAGCCTAGTCCTCGGTCGGAGTCACTTAGTCGGATAAAGTTCCCTCAAGAGCTGTACCCTCGACAGCTTGACCTTCAGCACCGTGATCATCAACGGCTTCTTCCCCCCTCGGGGACTTCTTCTTCATCTTCACTGCCCTCTGGGCCACTAGTTGAATCCTCATCAGAAGTAAGCAATGTCATCGATTCTTCCTCTAAGGCCTTCACTCTCTCGATCTTAGCGAATAAGTCAAAACCCTTCGCATGTATCTCTTCGAGAGCCTGCCTTCGAGATTCCCACCGAGCATGGTCAAGGGCTCGAGCTAGTTTGAGTTTGGCCTCAGCAGATGCTGTCTTATCTCGAGTATTTGCAGCGGCAACATCATCCCGATAAAAAGATATGAGCTCATCGATCTCAGACTTAATTCGGGACAACTCAACAACTGACTCAGCATGGAGATCTTTGTACTTATGGCTTTCTTCCCCTGCCCCTTGGAGTTGATACTCACCCGAGATCAGCTTCTCTCGAAGAGTTTCTTTATCGGAGGCCACTTCATTCATGCGCTACTTCAGCACAAGGATTTCAGTATCTCTGCCTTTAAGCTCCTCTAGCATTAGGTCATCTTTTTGCTTAAGCTGAAAGAATTAAATTAAGGCATTAAAACGCTCAATTGACTAGAGCACAAAGGTAAGCCCACGAAGGTCGTATTACCTGCTCATCGAGATCGGCCCGCTCTTGAGACATCCTCTCCAAATATGCTCGAAGGTCATCTAGCTCCCCCTCATTTTTGGCATAAAGGGCCTTAATCCCGTTCAACTCAGAAGTGAGCTTCCTAAACTCGTCTTTATAGTGAACCAACTCAGCTTGTGACTTAGAAAAACTTGGTTGAAGAGCATCAAGGCCTAAAAACGCAGAAAAAGGAGTCAAAAAAGCAAGGATTGAAACTCAAAATACAATGGTCAAGTCAAGATTACCTATTTTCGAAGCTTAGCAGCTTCTTCAAAATCAATGAGGCATCGATATCGGGGCCTTCCTCAGCCCTGGCAAAAAATATCCTTCAAACATATCATTCTCTCCGAGGGATGCCCCCACGCCGGGAGTTTCCATATCTTAGGCATCCCATATTTGCCTAGGAGAGAATGATGGGCCCGATGGAGACTCATCTACATTGATCACCTCGAGCGGTTTAACTGGGGCCCTCTCTCTACTTCGAGGGGCGTCGTTATGGGTTTCTTCGGGTTCATTAACTAAGTGCCCTTCGACACCCGATGTATTTTGGTTGTTGGTCTGCCCGGGGACTTCGTTTGAGCCCCCCTTCAACGATTCCCTCAGCTCTAGTCGGGACCACCTCAATGGCCTCCGTTCCAATAGCCTCCGACTTAGCCACCTTCGACTCAGTAGACTTCGAAGCAACATCACTTCGTCTACCCCTAAATGCTAACAGGAAGTCATCATTATCTTCGCCCTCGGCACGAGGACTTTTGACCGCTTCCCGAGTTAAGGTCACCGGATCGGCCTCGAGCTTTTGAAATTTAGCATTCTTCGGCTTCGCGGTCTCAGCTGGTGATTTCTTCTTTCTCTTTTTGTCCATAGCAGGCTTCGGGGTATCTGCTTCCCCAAGCGGGGGTTCCCTCATCAAAATGGCCTCTCTAAAGCCTGCATAAGCATAACGAGTGAGAGTACTATCAAGAGATAACTTCCCTAAGGAGCTCGAGTATGATAGAAATAAAAACTCACCATGGTTTTTGGCGTCCCAACGGGTTTTAGCCAGATCACGCCACACGCGCTTCACATATGGGCATGTCGAATCGAGTTGTCGGACCAGCCCAGGAGATCCTTTCACAGCACCAAGGTACCACTCGATAGCTGCATCATCGAAGGGAGTTAATTCGAAGGAAAGAAAAGGTATCTAATTAGCAAAACATGTTTACCTACGTTTCATATTCCATTCCTCGGGGAATGGCATTTTCTCAGCGGGGATTAGGTCTGAGGTCCTGACTCGGACAAAGCGGCTCATCCACCCTCGGTCCTTATCCTCATCAATGCTAGAAAAAAAGGCCTTCGGGGATCGACGTTTTAACTTAATCAGGCTACCTCAATAAAGTCGGGGGCTATACAGTCTAATCAGATGATCAAGGGTAAAAGGCATCCCCTCAACCATGTTCGAGAAATACCCGATCAGATAAACGATGCGCTAGAATAATGGATAGATTTGTCCAAGCGTCACCCGATATTGCCTGCAAAAATCGAGGATCACTGGGTCTATCGATGGCGAGGAGGCTCCTACCGGGCCTAAGGTTAAAGGATATATGTATACACTAAGAAAACCGGCTTTGTGTTTGGTTATGTCTTCTTCACGTGAAGGAATCTATATTTGCACCACCTCATCCCAATAGTAGTCAACCTTTACTTTCTCAGTTTTAGTTATTAGGCTGATGTATCGAGACATAGATTCGCATCGTCCCGGAACAGAGGAAAGTTTTTCGACCTGGAAATCAGAAGATGTTTCACAAGGCCCAGGAATACACTCCTCAATATGAGGTGGTACTACCTTTTTCTCTTAGAGGAGCGTGATGACGAAGGGGCTTTCTTCTTTTGGGGAACGATTTTAGAGGTTTTTGCCATTCTTGCTGTAAAATCTCAAAAGGAGAAGAAGAAATTGGTTGAGAAATGAACACAAGGACGAAGTGAGCGTATAAACATAGTTGCTAAAAGGTCTGAAGACATTGTAAAAGGTAAAGGTTTAAGGAACGAAGGATTGA